GGCCCCCCATTGTTGTCGCTGTTTATCTTCCAGAGGTGCCTGCGGGCCGGCTGCACCATTGCTTTGAGTTTGCACACACATTCTGGCCATGGGATCCTCTTCCCTCCCCCCTCGGTATCCGTTTCCGTAGATGTTTTTATTTCTTTTCCCTAGCTGGCATTTTAGTGAGCATTATTGAGCAAGTTTTCAGAAGCCCGCACGTTTTGTTTACGTAATGTTTTTGTAATACTGACCCCGGAATGGAGGGGAGAAGAAAGCCAAGAAGTGTTAGAAAACTGTGAGTCTCTTTGCGTGATGGACATTTCAGTTGCCCCCCCACCCCCAATCCCGATGTGTTTACTTTTTAAACAGGATGCAAAAGTATAAACTGGCATTGAAAAGTAGAATATCATTACAGAATTTGGAAGACTTAAGACTCTTTTTAAAAGTGAGTCTATATTTAGATTTTTTTTAGAGACGTGGTATGTAAGGCACATGAAGAAAACGACCCGCACAAATAGGGCTCATGATGCTGGTTTTGGTGTTTTTATGACCAGCAAATGTTTGTGATGAGTACCTGGGTGTTCTAAAAACACATGGAAATAGGTCAAGTAAATCTCATTTTAAAGAGAGAGAGTGAACGTCACTCTAGAAACAGGTTTTGGATGTGTTTGTTTTAGCCTTGTATATCTGAAATTGGAGCATTTTGTTAAGCCCAATCTTTGATTTAGAATTTATGTTTCAAATGGGCCACTAATTTGTGGCCAAAATGAAAACAATGGTAAACCGTTGCAGGTTTTGTTACTTACTGATTGTTAAAATCTTGGTAGTATTATAACCATCAGGAAAATTATATTTCTAAAGAGCTGGTCATTAGACGAGAGGAAGGAATAAAGAAATGGAGACATGTTTCAACTGGTAAAATTTTGTCAGTGTCCACCAACTTGAATTGTCAGAAGAATGGCGCAGGTATTTTTTAATGATTCAAAAATGATTTCCTAACTCGTTAGAAAAAAAATGATAGTATTAAATCTTTTCTTTTCATGATATTTACCTGTTTAGATAATATTATGTATTAGCCATTTACTAGCATGAAGCACCTGACATGCTGTCAGTTGGATATTTCAGTGCTTTCTTTCCTCCCGTGTAGTAACAGTAGGTCCTGAACCTTTTCCATTCTCTTGCCTGGCTTCTGATTGTGCCTAAGGAACCTGAATTTGCGAAACAACAGGCTGAATTAAGAGCAATCTCTGTGGGTATGAAAACCATCTTGTTAACATTCTGCTGCAACCACGTGTGCTTATTTATGGACTATTTAGTTCCTGGCTTATTACCTTTTCGGTTAATTAAAACAAAACCTGCTGTTAAGTGAATGTTAATTAAAGTATTTAGAATTACAGAAGTATAGAGTAGGGTGAAATAACCAAGACATGGGAGTTATGACATGACCAAGGTCGCACAGATCATTAGTGGCAGAGCCTTTCTTATTTAAAAAATAATTGTAGGCTATGAAGTTCTTGTTTGATATGATTAAAAGACAATATTTGTTCACATTTACATTTCATGTTTTGTGAAAATGCAGAGCCAACCGCATTTTGGAATGGAAATGTAAAGGTTTAATGCTTGAGTATGAAGATTGTGAAGGCTATAGGTAGCCATCCAGTAATGTTTTTTAAAGGAAGTGCTATACAATAAGGGAAATAATTCTTTAAAATAAAGTATTAGACCCCCATGTAGTGGAAAAGAGTTTTCAAGTTTCTCGGTATGACCTGTGCTTTCTGTAAGTTGAGTTTTAATGGGGGGTGAGAGGGAAAGCTAAAAATGGAAACATTAGGGCATTTGGTGACATCTCAGTTTGGGACTCTTAAGAAATCCAAAGATGTATATGGTAAATTACAGCCTATCTCTAGTCCTCCTTTTACTGGTCCTTGCTTTTTTTTTAGTTTGTATAACAAAAATTGGAAGGTTTGAAGTATTTTTCTTTTCTGTCTTTGATAGATTTTATATAAAATATTTTCCTGTTTTATATATTTTGAATAAACAAAGAGTAAAAGCCGAAACCGGTTTGGCTGAGTGGATAGAGCGTCGGCCTGCGTACTGAAAGGTCCCAGGTTCAATTCCGGTCAAGGGCATGTACCTTGGTTGTGGGCACATCCCCAGTAGGAGATGTACAGGAGGCAGCTGATTGATGTTTCTCTCTCATCGATGTTTCTAACTCTCTATCTCTCTCCCTTCCTCTCTGTAAAAAACAAAACAAAACAAAACAAAACAAAAAAAAACAAAGAGTAAAAACTATTTTATTAAACATTAGAAAATGTTTAATTAGAAAATACAGGAATTCTTCAAATCTGTAATTTGATATTTTAACTGTTACTAGTGTATGCTTATCTTTTTCTTTGGTTCTTTAAAAAGATATTCATTTGAATCTACTATCTGAAAAATAAACTTTTTTTTTGTTTTCACCTTATGACTCACTTGAAAAGTGGAATTATAATACTAGATATTTTCAGAAAAAATAACAGTATATGTAAATAATAGGAGTGTGAATTTGTTGAGTGGCCATAAGATATAAATAACACAATATTACTTCTTTTTTCGGTTATTCTTATTTAATTAGTTGAGTGGGTGAATTATGTCAAGTCACTGATGATTTCTAAACTCCTTCATATATATTTTCAGTATAGTTTCTCACTTTTCTTTTCCCCTCCAGAATTGTTAAGGGAGGGAAATATCTTAATTTAGTTTTAAGTCTTTTCTCATGCTTTTTATGTTATCTTTCTAGAGAAGGAATATTAATGTATTAACTAATTGATATTTGCATGTTAAGATTTTGGGTAAAGTTTACTATAGTGATTCACAAATTGTATTGAGTTTGGTGTATAATTTACAAATCACCCATTGCAGCAGGACTTACTAGTATGTATGTTTGAATTACTTATGCTTGCCAAATTATTTCAGGCCTGTAGTTAGAATTACACTACACTATTTTTGGATTTTGGGTTGAAAGTAAAAGCCTCTCCCCATTTAAGAAAAAAATCTTTGATTTCAAATGTAGATGATTTCTGAGGGCTATTTCACATGTCCTTCTAAATGTTAACATTCCATGCCCTATTTTGTACCTGTTTGCAGAGGCTAGAGTTAATGGGTCAGTTTGGCAGAATTGGGACCACCTAAATCTCTCAATTTTTTATCTCAATAGAATTTGCAAATTTTCTTTTTATCTGTGCCAGCAAGGATGAGCGAAAAGTAACATGGAGTTCATTTTCTGTATTTAGAGAGTCTTGTAGTAAATAGCCAGTTTTGTGTTAAAAAATAATTGTTAACATACAAAACATTCTAAACCTGAACTGTCCACTATGGTAGCCACTAGCCACATGGAGCTATTGAGCACTTGATCTGTGGCTGGCTAGTCTGAATGGAGTTGTGCTATGTAAGTTTAAAAAACACTGGATTTGAAAGAGTATATACACACACATATAAGAATGTAAAATTCCACTTTAATAATTTCTTTATACTGAACATATGTGGAAATGGTAATGTTTTGAATATTTTAGGCTAAATAAAATATACTTTTAAATTAATTTTACTGTTTTTTTTAATTCTTAATATGGCTAATAGAAAATTTGAATTTTTAGGCCTTTTCTCTGAAATACAGTACATTGAAGAAAAAAAAATTTTTTAAGATACTTGAGTTTGAATCCCATCACCCAGTATTGATTATCAAATCCTTGTGAAATTGGGTTTCATCATTTCTAATTGGGTATAGTCATATCTCCCAGGGTTGTTTTGAGCATCCAATGATGTGGGTCTAATAGTGCTTCCAAACTTTAATATGCATATGAATCACCTGGATCCATACTTTTCATTTGTAAGGTACCCAGGTAATACTGATACTGGTTGGGGATCACAGTTTGCATAGCTAATATCTGGATTACTATATGGGTTTTTGTTCATTTTCCTTCCCCCAGTTGTTACTGTCCATTTAGAGTCTACTGTGAAAATTATCCATAGGATATAAAAATTGGAAAAGTTACTGTAGCTTGCAAGATTTATTAAAATTGGTTTTATTCGTGGATTTTTATCTGCATTCTGGAGAATTCATTGTCAGTATCTTTTGATAAGCACAAAACTGGCTATTTTGAGGGGTGATACTGAAGCAAGATAATCAGGCTGTACAGTAATCTAGATGAGATGATACATACCTAGACTAGGGAATTAGCTATGGCAAGAGAGTAGAGATCGATTACAAAGGAGTTAGGTGTAAAAGTTGACCAAATTTGGTGTGGTTGGTTGGAGTGTGGGTGAGAAAAAGAATTTTTCGTTTTCTCCATTAGCACTCATTGGTTAAGGCATGGAAGCTGAGATGTCACATTGTTAAGATTTACACAGGGATAGGAGTTTGTGGCATATGTATAGATGGGAGACAGATAGGAGGGAACCAAGGGTACTGTTAAGTTAAAATGCTTGGGCTCCAGATTCGACAGGAAAGAAAATGAGAATGGGAATTGGTTAAAGGAAAGGTGATGGTTAAGAGACTGGAAGTCCCCGTGAAAGTAATGAGCAGGTGTGGGAATGAGTAAGTGAGCCAGAGGACCAGAGTTTGTGGTCTGAGAATGAGGTTAAGATTTAGAGAGGCAGCAGTTTTAGGTGGCATCTGATTCCAAATGTGGCCATCATATTTTGTTTCTGGAGGAAGGGGGTGAAGTCCTTTGAATTTAGGATTTTAGGAACTAAAAACTGAGGACACTGTTTCTCATATTGTGTTTGAAGCATTACTTGCATCAGTAGCAACTTGAAGTGAGATTCCTGGGTTTCATCCATGTCTATTGGCCTAGAATCTCGAGGGTTAGGGCCAGAGAATGCATATTTTTAACAAGCAGCCTCAGTGTGGCAAGTTTAAAAACCTCTGAGTTAGGTGTTGGATGATTCATTCTCAGGGATATTTAAATAGATTCACAGTGATGTGTCAGGAGTTAAGCTTGAAGAGGATAACCAATAGTGAGTAATGCTGTTTGAATAGTAGAATGTTTCCTCCTGTCTTATGTGTGAAAATGGGCAGTTTCTCTTTTGAGTAGGCTGCAGGAGGGACGTGAATGGAGTCTTATGTGTGCCCTTGAAGTGTAGGCAACTTGAAGCTGTAGATGGTAAAGAAAAAGGATGGGGTGGAGGGAGAATCAGGACTGTAGTCATATCATGTAAAGACTAAGTTCTAAAGTCAAAGTAAAACAAAAACGTTATTTAGAAACCCTTTTTAGTCAGTTACTTTAGAAAATTCTCTAGTTTTGAAACATTGTTTTGTTAAATTGGTGGGATAAGATGACTTGTATTTTAAGGACATATATCATGTTTAAAACATTTGTCTTTTAAACACTAAAATACCAGATTTTGAAGTGAGATAGTTCTATGTCATGATGCTTGGTGAAGTGGAAGGAGGAAATATTAAATGTGAAGAAAGGGACTGATGACTGAGGTGATGTTTGGTTAGTGCTTCTGGATTGTCTGGACAAGAGGCACCTTGAGAAGGTTGGCTTAATGGTTGTAAACCTGAACATGCATATAAATAGCAGGAGGTCTTACTGTGATGAGCTTGTTTTTGCATACACTACTTCCTTGAAGAAGGTAATGGCTATAGAATACATTTTCATCATCTTAAACAGAAACTCTACCCTTCTTTCTGGCCCCTGGTAATTGCTAATCTACTTTCTGTCTCTGAATTTGCCTATTTTTAATATTCCATATAAGTAGATCATACATTTGTCCTTTTGTGTCTGGCCTATTTCACTTAGCATAATGTTTTCAAGGCTCATCAATGTTGTAGCATTGGTCAGAACCTTATTTCTTTCTATAGTTGAATAATACTCCATTGTATTGATATGCCATATTGTTTATCCATTCTTCTGTTATTGGGCACTTGTGTTGTGCCCACCATTTTGGTTTTTGGTGTTTTTTGTTTTGTTTTGTTTTGTTTTTTTACTTTTGTGAATAGTTCTGCAGTGAACATTGATGTACAAGTATCTGAGTCCCTGTTTTTAGTTCCTTTGGATATATACCTAGGAGTGGAATTGCATGGCGATCTTATGTTTAACTTTTTTGAGGAACCACCAAACTTTTCCACAGTGGCTGTATTATTTTTCATTCCCATCAACAGTGTACGAGGGTTCCAATTTCTCCATCCTCACCAATGCTTGTTACATATGTTTGTTTGTTTAAATTGTAGCCATCCAAGTAGATGTGGAATGGCATATAATTATGATTTTCATTTATATTTCTAATGACTAATAATGTTGAGCACCTTTTCCTGTACTTATTGGCCATTTATAAATCTTTGAAAAGAGTCTTTCTTTTGCCCATTTTTAAATTATTTGGGGGGGGGGGTCTTTTTGTTGTTAAGTTGTAGAAGTTCTTTTTATATTCTGGAGATTAAGCCCTTTTCAGAGAGGTGATTGATAAAAATTGTCTCCCATTCTCTAAATTGTCATTTTACTTGTTTGACAATGTCTTTTGATGCCCCCAAGTTTTAATTCTGATGAAGTCCAATTTATCTATTTTTAATTTTGTTACTCATGCTTTTGGTGTCGTAGCTAGGAATCCATTGCCAAATCCAAGATTATGGAGATTTACCCTGATGTTTTCTACTAAGAGTTGTGTGGTTTTACCTCTTGCATTAGGGTTATTGATCCATTTTGAGTTAATTTTGTATATGGTGTGAAGTGGGGGTCTGATTTAATTTTTTTGCATGTGGAAATTCAGTTGTTGAAGAGACTATTTTTTTTCCCCACTGAATGGACTTGGCACCCTTTTTGAAAATCAATTGGCCATAGATATATGGGTTTATTTCTGGACTCTTTTATTGCATTTGTCTATTGTTAGGCCAATACCCACATTGTCTTGATTACTGTAGCTTTGTAGTAAGTTTTGAAATCCAGAAATGTGAGTTCTCCAGCTTTGTTCTTCTTTTTCAAGATTGTTTTGGTAATTAGGGCCCCTCATAATTCCATTTGAATTTAAGGATTGCCTTTTCCATTTCCGCAGAAAACGTTGTTGGAATTTTTATAAGAATTATGTTGAATCTGTACATCATTTTGTGTAGTGTTGTCATCCAATTCATCTGTAGTGTGGTCTTCCAATTCATGAATACAGGTTGTCTGTCCATTTATTTAGCTTTTTAATTTCTCCCAGCAGTGTTTTATAGTTTTCTTTGTATAAGTCTTTCATCTCCTTGGTGAAGTGGATTCCTCAGTATTTCATTCTTTTAGATACTACTGTAAATAGAATTGCTTTCTTGAATTCCTTTTTGGATTGTTGACTGCTAGATATAGAAACAAAACTGGCTTTTTTTGTGCTCTGAACTTGCAACCTGCTGCTGTATTTGTTTACTAGCTCTAGTAGCTTTCTTGTGGATTCTTTGAGATTTTTCAATATAGAGAACAGAAATAGTTTTACTGTCTCTGCAAATAGGGAAATTAACTTCTTTATTAGCAATTTGTATGCCTTTTAATGTCTTTTCAATTCTAGTATAATGTTGAATAGCAGTGGTGAAAGCAGGCATCATTGTCTTGAAATTTTTCCACCTGTAAGATAAAATTTGCCACTGAAGTATGTTAAATGAAAGGATCATGCAAAATTTAATAAATTTGGTGATCTTGCTCTTCTAGCCGGTTTGGCTCAGTGGATAGAACGTCGGCCTGCGGACTGAAGGGTCCCAGGTTCGATTCCGGCCAAGGGCACACGCCTGGATTGCGGGCTCGATCCCCAATGGGGGATGTGCAGGAGGTAGCCGATTGATGATTCTCTCTCATCACTGATGTTTCTATCTCTCTCTCTCTCTCCCTCTTCCTTCCTCTCTGAAATCAATAAAGAAATGTATTTTTTTTAAAAAATTTGGTGATCTTAATTAGTCTGTAGAGAACTTGATGTTTAAAATTTTTCTTTTGCAGCACAGGATGAACCAGCCTTGAAGAGAAAATACTACAAACTGGCTAATGGATGTGAAAATGATGTTTTATTTTTGTGACCAGCATCTGTGAGATCTGTAATAGAAATGTAAGTATGGCATCATCGTTTTTCCAAAGCTACAGTAAATTAAGTGTACTGGTGTAAAATGCAATGAATCAAATATCTATAATTTCCAGTTAATATAATATGAGCGTTTTGTATTGATTTTTTAGATGTTTTATTGAGTTAGCAATCTTATTTACATTAAATTATTGCTAATGTAGATTTCCCAAAATCTCATAGAGGAAAATCTTCCTTAAAAAGTGAAACTGAAGACAGAATTTGCTCTTAGAAGGCTAAAAAACTATAAAGAGGTACAGTTTCTTCTAGGTTCTTCTTTCTTTTTACATAGCAACTTGTTTACTTAAATAACCAAGTTAGGTACACAGTATCAGCTTTTATAAATAAGAGGGACTTACTGGGTTATAAAACACTAGTTACTAAAAACTTGTTTCACTGAACTGAATTTTTAATTATTGTGCATTATTGCATTTTAATTCAGAGAGAATTCACTGGAATCCCCAGTTTGTTATTTTCTATCATTTAGTCTTTTCCAATATGATGCCTTGATTATGTATACTCATTAAAAGTGTGACCATATCATTCTTAGTGTTGAGAATTTCATAAAAAGTGAAACCAACTCTAGCTGGTTTGGCTCAGTGGATAGAGCGTCATCAGCCTGTGGACTGAAGGGTTTTGGGTTCAATTCTGGTCAAGGACATGTGCCCAGGTTGTGGGCTTGATCCCCAGTTGGGGGCGTGCAGGAGACAGCCGATCAATGACTGTCTCTCATCATTGATGTTTCTCTCTCTTTCCCTCTCCGTTCTCTAAAATCTCTCTCTATATATGTATATATATTGAAACCAGTAAGCATTTTTCTTTACAATTAGGGCAAATATATATTTTATTTAATTCTATTCATTTATTTAATTCTATTCCACATTCATATGTTATCTGTCTATATATTTTTAATCCTGTAGCTCAGATAGTCTAGGTCAGTGGTCGGTAAACCGCGGCTCGCGAGCCACATGCGGCTCTTTGGCCCCTTGAGTGTGGCTCTTCCACAAAATACCACATGCGGGCACGCACGCACGTACAGTGCGATTGAAACTTCGTGGCCTATGTGCAGAAGTCGGTTTTCGGAAAGGAGATAGACGAAACAAATATACAAGACGAGTGTGGATGGGAGAGTTGGAAGGGGTCGACCTCAGCGAACGTACCTCAATCAGATTGAGGACGTTTTTAGCAAAGGCCAGCTTAGGAATACCCTAATTAAGTTAATAACAATGTACCTACCTATATAGTTTAAGTTTAAAAAATTTGGCTCTCAAAAGAAATTTCAGTCGTTGTACTGTTGATATTTGGCTCTGTTGACTATTGAGTTTGCCGACCACTGGTCTAGGTGCCAGCTGTCAAGGAATTAGACTATGTCAAGGTTTCAAAGTCATCTGACCTACTTGTCATCTGAATTACTTTCAGCCATTTTTTTGTTTCTTTACTTCATATTGGCTAGTGTATCTAGAAGGCTGATCCAGGGGAACTTACATGTGAGATGAGGTGGGGGCCAGACCATACAGGGCATATAGATCCTGGTCTTTACTGTAAAATCAACAAGAGATATGGTTTAACAAATTAAAAGGCATATACAATAATTAAACAGTTTACTTGGTGGCTAGGGAAGTGTAGAGATGGATAGTAGATGATTCAGGAAATATTTAGGAGATAAAATTGATAAGACTTATGTTTTGGATGGGAGAAGGATAAGAGAAGGGCAGTTTCAGTTCTGGATTTCTAGCTTGAAAAAGCAGATGGTTAGCGGTGTCACGGGGGTAGGGGGGCTTTTAAGGAGTAAATAAGGAGGAAGCAGATCTTGAATAGTTTTTGTGCCTTCAAGGCATCCACGGAGAGATCTAAAATAGGCGATTAGGGCTAGGGCTGAAAAGAGATCTGGGCTGGTGATGTCAATTGTGAATCATTTGTATACAGGTAACAGTTGAAGCCCTGAGAATAGATGAGGTCATCTTGAAAGAGTACAGCAAGAAGAGCACATAGCTTAGAAAAAGGTCACAACAAAAAGAGGTCATTAAAAGAGTTGTTTCACAGAGAGGGAATGCAGTTTAACCAGTGTTTTCAGATTTACCGCAGGGATAAGGAATTTCTGGGATTTCAGCTTTAGTCTTAATTTCATATGGTATACTTGTCAAGTACCAAAAGTGTATTGTCATATGGTACTATTTGCAAAATTGACACTTAGTAACTAAAAGGTTACAACACCATCACTTTCTGTGATCATCATCTGAATTACTTTCAGCCATTTGGTTTCTCTACTTTCCAGACTGATTGTCAAAGTCAGTGTAGAGTGGACTGTGCATTTTAAAATCTCTGCACGTAGTTCTATCTTACAAGGTCTATGACTGAATAGAAATGGTATATTTATTTAAAACCAATCTATACCTTACTTGTATTTTTTTACTTTTGACTTAACATTTGTATGCCTTATTCCGCCGCCCCGCACGCCCAAGTAAAAATCAATGACATACAAACCAAAAAGGTTTTTCTATACGTTAGAGTTTTTTCCTGTATTTTCACTTTTGTATCCCTATTCATTGTCTAGTATGTGGTTTGCATATAATAGGTGTTTAATAAGTTTTTTCTGAATTGTTGATTTAAGAGTTAAAACCTGATTTTAATATATGTATTTTCTTTCGTTTTCTTAGGATGGCTGGCTGTGGTGAAATTGATCACTCAGTAAACATGCTTCCTACGAACAGGAAAGCGAATGAATCCTGTGCTAATACTGCACCTTCTCTAACTGTCCCTGAATGTGCCATTTGTCTGCAAACATGTGTTCACCCAGTCAGTCTGCCTTGTAAGCATGTTTTCTGCTATCTATGTGTAAAGGGAGCTTCATGGCTTGGAAAGCGATGTGCCCTGTGTCGACAAGAAATTCCCGAGGATTTCCTTGACAAGCCAACCTTATTGTCACCAGAAGAACTCAAGGCAGCAAGTAGAGGAAATGGTGAATACGCATGGTATTATGAAGGAAGAAACGGGTGGTGGCAGTATGATGAACGCACGAGTAGGGAGCTGGAAGATGCTTTTTCCAAAGGTAAAAAGAGCACTGAAATGTTAATTGCCGGGTTTCTGTATGTTGCTGATCTTGAAAATATGGTTCAATATAGGCGAAATGAACATGGACGTCGCAGGAAGATGAAGCGGGACATAATAGATATACCAAAGAAGGGAGTAGCCGGACTTAGGCTGGACTGTGATGCTAATACCGTAAACCTAGCAAGAGAGAGCTCTGCTGATGGAGCGGACAGTGTATCGGCACAGAGTGGAGCTTCAGTTCAGCCTCTAGTGTCTTCGTCTGTGAGGCCCCTGACGTCAGTAGATGGTCAGTTAACGAGCCCTGTGACACCATCCCCTGATGCAAGCACTTCTCTGGAAGACTCTTTTGCTCATTTACAACTCGGTGGAGACAGCCTGGCTGAAAGGAGTCATAGGGGGGAAGGAGAAGAAGATCGCGAATTACCATCCTCAGGCAGGGTACCGGCACCAGACACCTCCATTGAAGAAACTGAATCAGATGCCAGTAGTGATAGTGAGGATGTGTCAGCGCTTATTGCACAACACTCCTTGACCCAACAGAGACTTTTGGTTCCTAATGCAAACCAGACAGTATCTGATCAATCAGATCAATCAATAACTGATGGATCACTAGCAGGGGGTGGAACAGTGAGTGCCAGTGTCAGATCTAGAAGGCCTGATGGACAATGCACAGTAACTGAAGTTTAAATAAAAGTCTTCAGCTCCATGCTCAAGGTTAAAATGGTTATCTGTAAATTTCTGCCCACATAACATTATACTCATCCCTAGTAGTACATTTTTGGGAGTTGGGGTGGGAAGGGGTATAGGAAGGATAGACCTATAATTAAAATGTCCAGTCTAACATGTCTCTGTTGAGAAATTTATTTAAGGAACTTGGGTGTTAATAGTTGAAAGCTGTTTAGTAATAACCCAGTTTTCTTGAAGTCTGTTTATTTTATAGTTTTTTAAAATTCCGTTCTTTTGGCCGGCGTGTATGTATTATCTGTGCATTAATGGTCCCATCTTTTGCATTTTGTCTTACTTTCCTGCATGGATTGACATAAAGCCATTACTAAAATTTGGCACCTATGAGATGTCGTATCAGTTTTAACAGGAAGCTTAATTAATGTGAGAATACATGTGAATTTGGGGTTTTAAAATAGACAAAAACTATTTAATAGTAAAGTTACTGAAATGGAAATGTAAAGAAAACACCTAATTTATGTTTCATAATCTTGTCTGTAACATATTCACGGCGTTCCCATAGACTTTGCTGTCTAGTCCTTGTAGTTTGAAGTTTCTCTTGATCGTTTTCTTTTTGGTTACAAAATTTATAATTTAATAAATACTAGAATTTATCAAAAATCATTTGTCTCTTGCTTGAGTCTGGAAAGAGGATGTTAACATTTTGACACTTGTAACCAAAGGTCTATCAAAACGTGGTTTCAGTTACTGGTATTCAGCTTAAAGGAGTCACCTGCTCAGAAAAGTCTGATTTTTTTTCATAGAGAGTATTTAAACAGAATCTGCAGAGAATGTGCATGGAATAAATACATATGGAAATAGACCTAAAGCCTGTGAGACAAATTTCTTCAATAACTGGTAGTAGAGACCATACGTATTTTAGATTTTTCTTGCCAGTCTTCATTAGTGGTCTGATACTCATCTGAATTAAATGGTAGGCTTACCAGTATTGGTAGACACAAACTACTTTTACACAAAATGTTGTAGAACCTGTGACAAGGTAGGAAATACTGGGTTCACTTGGTAATCCAGAGTTTGGTTCTGCAAAAAAGTAATGTAAGTTTATCTTACTACATTTTCCTAGCTCAAAACAGTAGGATCATGTTGATGAAGCATGTGTAAGTTATTTTAAATAATTTTAAAATGTGAATTGAATTTTACAAATAGCAAATAAAAACTGTCACTTCTTTGAAATAATCTTTTACCTCTTACAATGTTAGAATTGGGACTACTTCAATTTAATATGTTTTTTAAAGTCTGCTAGTGAGAGATAATCATGACTTTGAGTTGTATACTTTTATTAAATTTAGTTATAAAAGAAGGCTATTTTTCCAGAAAAAAATAGAAATCTGATGTAAAACGCAAATGTAGGTTACAGAATGCTTCTGAGTCCTTTGAAGTCTTAGGCGGTTTTGATCTAAAGTTAGATTTTATGACATAAATGAGTAAATTCTAGGGCACACAAATTTCATTAAGTATTTTATTTTTGTAAATTATTTCCAGGTAAGACAGAATAAAGACTTACGAAAAATAACACCATGAATAGGTTTTGTGTAGTTTTTCCTTTTAAAAACTGGTTTTTGGTTATAGGCTAAGAACCATTAAGGGAACTGGGAAATTGGTAATAATTTTTAAGCCAAAAGTATGCAGGTTTACTTGGTAAGTACCCAAATACACTAGTTTCCTCCCCAATCTGTGCTTTCACTTTCTGAGTTTTCAGCCAACCAGTTAACTGCAGTCTGAAAATATTAAATGGAAAATTCCAGAAATAAACCATAAGTTTTAAATTGCACACTGTTCTTGGTGCGATGAAATCTCACACTGTCCTGATCATCCTGCCCAATTTGAATCCTTTTGTCCAGCATATCTGCACTGTATACTCCACCTGCCTGTTGGTCACTTAGTAGCCATCTCAGTTATCAGAATCACAGGATCCCAGTGCTGGTGTTCAAGAAAACCTTATTTTACTTAATAATGGTCCCAAAGTGCCAGAACAGTGATGCTGGCAATTTGGATATGCCAAAGAGAGGCAATGAAGTGCTTCGCATAGTGCAAAGGTGAGTATTGTACAATAAAATATTTTGAAAAAGAGACCACATTCACATAACTTTTATTATAGTATATATATTATTATTTATTAGTTATTGTGCCTAATTTATAAATTAAATTTTATCACAGGTATGTAAGCATCACAGGATTCAGTACTATCCAGTCTCAGGCATCCACTGGGGGTCAAGGAACCTATTTCCTGCAGGTAAGGGGGGACTACAGTATACTGAAAGCCATGCCAATGAGTTTAGGTATTCAAAAAATGATTAAAAACAAACCCAAATACTAGTGATACCCTTCAAAGTAACTGACATGTTTAATATTTAACTTTTCTACACATTAAATTGGAGTTGTAGTACACCTATTTAAAAGCAACTATTTACAAAATTTTCCTCTCCTAGCAATAGCCTCCAAATTTGCCGGTCCACCCCAAAGTGTTCCTACAAGATCTCTTTCGGTCTGTAACGCCTCCTGGAAACAAAGCTCTTTGCCTGAAGAAACAGTTTTTTTCAAAGCTCTGATTACTTCCGGTGGCCCTTTGATAAACTGATTCAGCCATTCTTGTGCCTCTTTTAGACACTCAGTTTCATCTGAAGACTGCAAGACCTCATCGACCATTCCTAGGTTTAAAGCTAGTTTTGAGTCCAGTTTGAGGGCCCCACTTAACACTTTGAGAGCCTGTTTACTGCCAATAATTTCAGCCAGTCGGGTAGCCCCGCCCCAGCTTGGTATTATACCCATCTCCTTGTGAACAAATCTGATCTCACTCTCTCTAGTCATTAATCTGCAAAAGAGAAAAAAAAAACTTAATTGTAATTATGTATACTTTAATCATAAAGTACTGCCTATTCATGGTCTGATCTGAAATCTCCATATCTCTTTATAGATATATTAAAAACAATGTTCAAAACATCTGGCTAAGTATAGAATTCAATTTATACACAGTAGTTAACACTTCCCTTTGAAAACTGTCAACATTTTTGTTGTGCTTGCTTATCGTTTACTTTGCAAATAAGAATCTAATGTTTATGTTAAGTTCTAAAAGCCCAAAGTGTATCAGTAAAGTGGTAGCCTAATGAGAAAACCTAGGTTAAGTGAAAATATGGGAGTTGGAAATGTTAGGTGGATACCATGGGTAAAAAATGCATGGTTCCGGTCAATAGTTCTTAGGAAAAGAAAAATTGTTTAACCCAGCATCTATCCAGTCTCCCAGCAAATATGTACTAAGCACTACTAATGCCAGTTTACATTCCTGTTAGAGAAAGGCAATGAATGATATGTCAGCAGTGATAAGTGCTATGAAGAAAAATAAAATGGGCCTTGGCCGGTGTGGCTGGGTTGGAGCATCTTCTTGTGCATCAAAAGGTGGCAGGTTCAATTCCTGGTCAGGGCACACACCCAGGTTGTGAATTTGATTGCTAGTCGGATGTGTACAGGAGGCAACCAATTGGTGGTTCTCACATCAATGTTTCTCTCCCTTTCTTTAAAATAAAAAAGGGAAAACAATAAAATGGGGCAAGAGACTAGAGAATAAAGATATGTGTGTTGGAGATGTGCTAGTTTAGATGGAAAAGGCCTCTGAATATTTGAGCAGCTACCCTAGTGAGTAAGCAATGAAAAAATCTGCAGGGCAAGTGTTCCAGGAAGAGGGCTTGCAAGTGCAAAGCCCTTGAAGTAGAACTTCGTATCTCTGGAACAGGCTACTGTAGCTGGAATGGAGTAAACAGAGTAATGGGAGCAGAAATCGGAGAAGTAGGCTTAGAGGCCTTAGATGGGAATTGAGGTTTTTAAGTGTGAAGCTATTTAGAGGTTACTCGAGAGAGAAGTATCTGAGGGTTACCCTGGTTGCTGTGTTAAGACTTTATTTAGCAGACAATAGCACACTATTTGTCTCTGGAGCTTTTTAAAAACTTTTTTTAAAACTATGTTTTTATTTCAGAGAGGGAGACAGAAACATCAGTGATGAGAGAGAATCATTGATGAGCTGCCCCCTGCATGCCCCCTACTAGGGGTCGAGCCTACAACCCAGACATGTGCCCTGACTGAGAACTGAACTGTGACCTCCTGGTTCATGGGTTGACACTTAACCACTGAGCCACACCAGCCGGGCTGTCGATGGAATTTCATGTCAATAATCCTCAGAACAACCATATGTAGTATAGAAATATCCTCATCTTACACAGGGAAACTGAGGTAATGAAATAAATACCTCACTCAAGGTCTCCAGTGCAGCTAGATCACAGAATTGAAACCCAGGTAGGTTTAACTTCATGTGCTCTGAACCTCACACACAATAGTTAGTTAGACAGGAATGGAAGCAGGGATACCAGTAAGAAAAGTTGACGGCAGCTTGGGTGAGACTGAGAGCAATGACTTCCTGTAGCAGGAATTCATTTTCCCCAAATCTTGGGATTTTTATAAATAGGGTGATTAATAAGCAAAGTGGAACCATAAAGGGGAGTTAACACAAAGAAATTAGTGAGCATAGCAAAAGGCTTCATATTTGCCAATTAAATATTTGTGCACTATTAATAGACTTTTAGGGAATGGTGCCTATGAGTTTTATATGGAGGCTTCAATGAGAAGCTTTCACTATGTTAAAACCTTAATTTGGACCAAAGGTCATGTCTGAATTTTAATTTTTTTTAAAGTATTGTTCTAAATACTCATTACCAAAAAAGACTACAAGTTAGTTTTCTAAAATGTTCAATGCAGAGCTGCACCAACAATAACAGACTCCTAGTCTTTGGTCCTTTAATCATAAGAAATATTCCAGTAGAGAATTCTCACAAAAGCCTATTTATTAAACCACTGGGAAAGAGAACTTTCTCTTCAGAGCTGTGAATTCCCAAAAGGGTAAATTTTCCTTAATTATGAACAATTGCTTTTAGAGGCAAATAGCCATGAAAATAGTTTTCAATACAAAATTTTTAAATTGGAAGAGAGAACAAGTATCCTAAGAATCTGAACCTAGTCCCAAATTTGAGAGAGGTACTGCAGAAAACAATGTCAAAAATGAAGAGAGCAGAATATAAATTACAGAAATAATGCTAAATAGTCTTAGAGACAGGAATATTGTTAACATTGAACACAATCCTATAAAATAGCTTTTCACAGAAATAAACAATATATCACAGTTCTAAATTACAACTGGAATTGAAACAAATGTTGGCTAAGAGCTATTCCTACAATACAGAAAAGGATTATGTCAGGAATACATTTAGAATCAGCTGAACATAAAAGTTAGTTAAAGCCCTAGATGCTGGGATAATGAAGATGAACTTATGACAACAAAAGTTATCTAAATAACAACAAAAGTTATTTATATTTGGAATTCTTTGCTTCTAAAGAAGAATTTTTATCATCATCTATATACCATGTGTTGTTTTTTTTTCCTTTGCCACATTTACAAGGTGATGTATGCCTTCCTGAACTATATTTTATAACTCTAACAAACCCTGCGGTAATCTTTGTAAAAATACCTGTTGTGATTAAACTCTGACCTCCACTCATTGCATATCATATACCTACGGTATGTTTCTATACTGATACACATTTAATACATGCTAGTTAATATGACCAAAAAATATATTAATGACAAGAGAACACAGATAGTTTAACAATGAGAGAAATATGTACCCTTTCACAAAACTCTTTAGTAATCTAAAAATTAATATAACCATACTTTATGAAGAAAATGTCCAATCAGTAAGATATATCCAAAGATAAAACTGCTTCCTGATAGACCTTACAGGATTACTTCTAGAGTTTATGTTCAGTTACCTGATACCACCTGTAATGTCATTTATTGCAAAGAATATTAATCTATATAGAAAACTGGAAGACCTAAATCTTGAAATTTTGAAGACTTACTGGAGAGTCAATTTATAAAACCATATCAAACTACCTTATTTTGGCAAGTAAAAATATTATAAGTATCTTCTGTTTATTAATGTAATTATTATTGGCAATGTTTAAAATTTCCTGTGACACCTTGGAGGAGGGGAAATGAGGAAAGTAATCAAACGTGGATACACCCATCGTTACTGTATGGTTCTTAGTCAAATAAATAAAAGTGGCAAACTGGGACTGAAACTAAGTTTCTGTCTCTAATGCTCCAGCTTTTTACTGCTTTTTCCATTTTATTTCCAAGTATGTTATATATACACTAACGTTTGCACTCTATAGAGGCTCAAATGTATAAATCTGTACAGATCAAAGAACATTTGTACTGGTTCTCCTTGTAGCTAAGCTAATAGGTCTTAGGAATGGTAACTGAGAACACAGTTTTAGGCACATGTAAAGCATTAGGTTCTATGATGCCATCCCTATAAAGCATAGCTATCCAATACTAAGAAGAATTCTAGGGGTTGAAGAGTTATTGGTCCCAAATAACTTGATTCCCTAATCAACCCAGTCACTATAAATCACAGTAAAGATAAATGTATAGCTATAGCTTTAAAGTACAGAAAACTTATTTTTATTGGTTAAGAGGATGACTACAGCAGTCTTTCTCCATTCCTTTTTTTTTTTTTAAGTTCTTTTCTTTGTATTATTCTTTTGAATCTTAAAGTTTCATATATTTCTTTGGCTTCTCTTCTCAGGGATTTTGCTGAAATGGATTTGATTTACTTAAAATCAACTTGTTTCGTTAACTTTTTGAATGCATGGTAATAAAGTAATAGTAGAGCTCAACTGACTAAAATTATCTACTTTAATGATTAACAAAAATAAATATTCACTAACTGATTTTCCTATTTAAGAGTACATAAATATTTATATTCAGACAAAAAATAAATTTGAGCATTATGTTAATTATATCTGTGCAAGCAGGAATGCAATTTCATCCTACCTGAAATCACATGCCGTAGTAACCTCTGCTCCTCCACCCAATGCCCAACCTTGAACCAGTGCGACACTTATTAAAGGAAGTCTGTATATTGAAGGAAAAATGTATGTTAACATTTTAAATTTCAATATTAATCTACAAACATTATTGAAAACTTGAGATGCAATAGAAACAAAATTATTGAACTATGTTTATAATAAATAAGAAACAAATCTCAAAGGATACTCCGTGCATTATGAGGAGCAAATCAGTATAATACTGAAGATATTTATACAATTCATACAAAATGCCATATACGTTTATCAAAATACCTCTCTGAATCATTGTTTATTTTAAAACCAGAGTCAGATTCTAACTTTACTCCAAAAAAATGGATGATTTTGGACAATATACAGCTCCTGGCACGTCTCAACTACTTACTGGCAATCAGGAATAATTCCATGTGGTATTGCCTTATTTCGTTTTTATTGGTATCAGGTTATAGATGGAAAAGTTAGGACTGTATCCAAAGGGAGGAAATGTGGTACAGAAGAATGAGCTCCAAAATTGTAGTTATAAAGGTTCCTGTCTTTTCACTACTCACTGAGATGATCCAGAGACAAGTCCTGTATAAAGAAGTGGTTCTGTAGTACCAGTAAAAACAAATCTCTTCCTGTTTGCAAAGACCCACTTTGCAGTGCAAGGCTGTATCAGCATAAAAGGTAAATCTAAAATGTTTTGAAAGTATGGATTTTTTTTGTAGGTTCTAATTGAAATGCATAGCTGTAAAGTACAGTAACTGAAAATTGCTTAATACACTTCTCTCAATTAAAAATAATTATTGAAGCCCTAGCCAGTTTGTCTCAGTGGATAGAGCACTGGCCTGCATACTCATTGAAGGGTCCCAGGTTCAATTCTGGTCCAGGGCACATGCAGACTCAATCCCCAGTAGTGGGCGTGCAGAAGGCAGCTGATCAATGATTCTCTCTCATTGATGTTTCTATCTCTCTCTCCTTTCTCCCTTCCTCTCTGAAATCAATACAATATTTTTTTAAAAAAAAAAATTTAAGAAACAAAGCCAGATATAATAGAAAGAGGTGAACAGGAGCCAATACAATGAAAAAAGTATTTTAGAATAGTAATGTTATGATTCCATTGTTCTTCTTAGACTCTCACATACAAAGAACAACAAAAGTACAGTGTTGTCCAATTCATTAATATACTAAATAAATGGAACTTTCCTTAGTTATTATAGTTTTTAAGTTGTTTCCAGTTGGAATACAGAAGTAGAAAGCTCATCAGCCCAAACATGTCATTGTTTATAATCCCAAATGCAAAGTGAATCCATCTTCCACACCAACCTGTAGTTCTTTTTCTCCAATCAGTAGCTCTTTTTCTCTCCTCAGGATATGGACCACTTCACTATACGTTCTACTAATTTTGTTTAGGTAATCTTTATGTGTCCTCTCCTGATCATGTCTTTATTCTGCTCTGATATCAATATTTTAACTTTCCCATGTCTATACCTAAATATATACAGCTAGTAATATAATCTCTTTATGGGAAAGTACTATATTTTAAATTCTTTTTATCTCTCATGTCTCTTTTTTTAAATACTTGTGTATATTTCATTAACATTTAATTAAATGACTATCCTCATTGGCACAAATAGTTCATTAGAATAAATATAATTTGAAAATCAGCTATTTTTTACTGGTACAACACAGAATAATAAAAACCTATTTTTGTTTTATTAGAAATCATATTTGAAAAAGAAAAATACATTACCTCATCAATCTTGTTAAGGTGTTTTGCATGAACATACATAAGGCCACTCCATCCTTTAAATAAAAATAACCATAAACACAAAGGCATAATGCAAATGTATAGGAATTAAAAAACAAACATATTTTCAGGGTTTAGAAAGAAATAAAGCCAATAATACACCTAACTTTTTTTTTAAATGAGGTTTTCATTTAAAACTCTTTGAGGCATTGCTGTCTGAAATGCAAATGATGCAGTTTGGGATTTTATTGATGTTCTAGGTCTCCTGGGGCTCAGCTTTGAATGAGGCATTAGCAAAGACTTAGAGGTGAGAGTGAGATCACACACCCCTGACAAGTATGGGTTCTACTCCAGTAATATGGGGGGAAGAGACATAACATACCCCATCCATTATCCCAGACTCAGATCCTCTAAAACAGCGGTTCTCAACCTGTGGGTCACGACTCCTTTGGGGGGCGAACGACCCTTTCACAGGGGTCGCCTAAGACCATCAGAAAACACATATCCTATCTAATAATAGACAAACATGGTAATTAACTGTACCTTCGCTACCATCGCCATTGGCTGATCAGCACAATATGCAAATTAACCGCCAACAAAGATGGCGGCTAATTTGCACACTGTAGGCAGGGCAGGACACCGGGAGCCGCCATCCAGGCCCCCGTGTGCGACCCCAGGAGCCGCCGGAAAGCCGGGCCGCAGGCAAGCCGGCCCCCTGGGACCCAGGAGCTATGAGGGGGAGGGTGGGGGGCGGAAGGAGCTACAGGAGCAGCTCTGGCTGGAGACTGAAGACTCCCGCTGGAGCGAGGAGCAAAGACTGAAGGTTCCAGCTGCAGTGAAGACTGTGTCCAGAGCGAATATGGAAGGCGGTGGCCAGAGTGAAGGTCTGGGTCCCGGGTGCCAGAAGAAAACTGGTGCTGGCAGCCAGGGGAAAGAAGGCCTATTGCACCAATCTTCGTGCAACGGGCCTCTAGTTGAATATATAATTACATATTGTTTTTGTGATTAATCACTATGCTTTAATTATGTTCAATTTGTAACAATGAAAATACATCCTGCATATCAGATATTTACATTACGATTCATAACAGTAGCAAAATTACAGTTATGAAGTAGCAACGAAAATAATTTTATGGTTGGGGGTCACCACAACATGAGGAACTGTATTAAAGGGTTGTGGCATTAGGAAGGTTGAGAACCACTGCTCTAAAAGTATACAGCCTACATTTACAATTTAATGGCAACAAATACATTTTTTTCCTTTTTCATTTCTCTCATGTTTTGTTTTTGTTGTTATTGTTGTTTGGGGCCTAGGGGATGTGTGGAAGCCTGAATTCAAGAAAAGTTCCTTGGAGGACTGATAATGGAAGATGATTAGGATTCTTTTTCTATCAGAGTAATAATTCAAAGCAAAACTTTAAATTGTTATCATTTGTTGAAGCTTGCTATGTACCAAAGTACCAAAGCTGTTAGATTCTTTATAGTATACCTCATATAAATTACTTATCAAGAGATGCTAAGGGGCTTCCACTTAAAATTCAAGTTCTTGCTGTATTCAATAATGTACTTTGATTATTGCTAATCTCCTCGTTCTTCCTCCCCGTCCCCCGCCCCCCGTGCCCCAATACTTCACACTATTGCAACCTAATCTTAAAGAAGCAAAACAAAAACTCTGATCCTTGGAAAGCTATTAAAGAGTAGTTGTCATCATAACCTTATAAGTAAAATATAAATAGCTCAGCCATAGCTGTCTGGTAAACATGTAGAGCCCAGTATGCAATTCATATATACTTGCCTCTGGAGTTCCTAGGGCTTTCACAGCATTCAGATCAGATCCTGAGGAGAATGTATTTTTTGCCCCACGAACAATGAGACCTTTCCCCTCTGTCCAATTTTCCAATTCAGTCACTTTTTCCAAAAGTTGTAGCATCATAACACCTGCCAGAGAGAGGAGGGGGAATCATAAACAGCTCAGATACTGGAGAAACAGAAATAATTTAGAAGCCATAAGGCTTCAAACAAGACTCTTATGTCATATATTATACAAATTATTTACTGAATGTCAAATACCTATTGTGTTGGTACTATGATGTACATACAAAAGAGGTATACATAACAGTCCCTGGTTTAAAAGCTTAGTGATTTTTGCATAACATCATGGTAGCACAATTCGAATTTGAGTTTTGGCCAAAAATTACAAATTAACATGTATCCTGAACCTTCAGGTCTCTTAAATATAAAATTTTTATATTCCAAGAGTGCTGCCTAGCAAATAGAAGGTATTTACCAGTATCCGAGTTAGGAAATGAGAAACAAATAGATAGGCAAGTGCAGTGTTTTCATTGATTGAAATTACATGTTTAAAATCTGTCTTATTTCAATTCACAAAAAGGAAAATTTAAGCTAAATAGTAATTTCTTTTTTCATTTATAGGTTTTTCTCTTTAGTTGTTAAAAATCTTTGAAACCACCTTTCCTTTGTCTCCCAGTAACATTAGCTGAACACAAACAAATGAAGTTAGTAAGCAGTTAATAAATTTCAATGGAAAAAATAATCAAGATTAATTTGATATTTTCCTTTTCATCAGCATCTGTATTCCCAGGTTTTTAAAAAAGAAAACCATTAAAACTTCCACCATGAGTAAAAATGTTCCCAGTTCATATGATAGTTTTGTTTTGTTTCCATGTTCTACAAAGGGTACCATGACTTTCACGAATTATGTCACCAAAGTAAGGATAAGAGTCATGTAATAGCAGGTTAAAACTAGTGTCACTTTTTAACAAGCCTAAGAAAGCTTTCTATACCTGAGAAGGCATTCCTTTTACTGGGATTGTTCAGAGTAAGAATGCCAATGCCATTGTCTTCCTTCTGAAGGTCAATGGATCCACCAGGAAACTGCTGAAGTTTTTTTTTTACTTCCTCCTCATGGAAGCCATGAGATGTATTATAAAGTGACACTCCCGTCTGATGGAGCAATTTTGTCCTTAGAGACATAGATGATGTCTTCAAAAGACTTGCTGCCATTTCTGGAAAAGAGACATAAGCATACAACAGTGCAGATGAACAGACACTGTGGTACTAGTTTTTTGTTAATCGGCCTTTCTGTTTAATTGGGAGGACTTTCCCACTTCTAGAAGCAACTTTTTGAAGAAAGATGGTCAGTATGGAATTCCTTTCCTTTCCCCCCTTTCTCAAACCACATAATTCACAAAGTATATTATTTCAGTACATCAGAGATATGATGACATAGTTACAGTGCATTTACTAGGATCTAATACACTAGGAAAGTTTAGAAGAATGTTGCTGTTCCGTATTTAGCATCATCTGACTCCAGGTAGTTTTTCTCATGACAGTTGTTCTTTTTCCAACTCTTTAACTTTTCCAAAATTTAAGAAGAAATTCAATCCAAATGTCCACTTAGAAATAGTCTTAATGCAAAAATGTTTTAAGAACAATCCAGTTCTCTAACAGAAATTTTATTCTTAGCGTTATCCTTACTTTATGTAATGTTTTCATAGAAAAAGTTGGAAGGGGTCCTGAAGAAAATGAGGAAAGAAATAGGGATGTATGTCTCTGTGGTTTCTGTATTCCCCAGGGTTCTGTCACTCTTCTCTTCTCTTGGGTAATCCCAACTCTGCCCACAGGCTTTTCTTATGTAAGCATTGTTGTTGACATAAAACGTACTAGTACATTCAGAAAAGTACACAGCTTAATGAGCTACATTTAAGTAAAGAACAGCACTGAACACATTTAAGCCAATAATAGCACTCAGTAGATAACATGAATCAGGTTTGTTATGCCACCTTTCAATCACCACTCCAAATAAGAGTAACAACTATCTTGACTTCTAATATCCAAGATTGTTGGCCTGCTTTGAACTTTATATACATTAAATAATATGATATATTCTTTTGTGTCTGATTTCCACTATGTTTGCGACATCCATTATTGCTATTATGTGTACTTAGAGTCAAAAGGTCCCCTCTTCCTCCCTCCCCACCCCCCCCTCTCCAGTATGTCCAAGCTTGCTTTTACCTGGAGTATGCTTTATGCATGTTTTGCCCCTGGGGATATGTCAGATATACAAAAGACAACTCATCAGAAAACTAAATTGGAGCAGAGGTCTTGATCTTTTCCACAATACTTCAGTATAAAAGAAATGTGCCAAAGAAACTTGGTAAGAACTTGGGTGGCTATTTTTAAAAAATAAATTTGCCTATATTCTATTTGGGGAAAAGAACAAAGAATTAAATAAGAAAATAATGAAGTATGATTCATAAAATCATTAGCATTTTAAATTATTATTGTGGGATAATGGAATTAATAGTATATCTTCTCTTTCACGAATTATGTCACCAAAGTAAGGATAAGAGTCATGTAATTACCCTCTTTCCAATCCAATAATACAAAGACAACTGGTACAGATGCCATCAGATCTATTTCTCTTTATCCTTAAATCATTACAATTTAAAAGACTTATGTAACTAATATTATACCTCATTAGACATCTTTGATATGCTGATTTTCCCAAAGAAACATAAATACTTCCTGTAGCCTTCTCTCTATTAATTCCACATGTTCTCTCTTCTCTCCCCCGCCCCCAATTCCTGCCTCTTCCACTAACTCTCCCTTCTTTTCTCTCCTCATATTCCCTTGTCTGTGCCACAAAATAGTACCATGAAAACTCAAGAGACCTGCCTACCAGGTTTCTGACCTCTGTTTGGAAATCCAATTCTAGAAATCTGATCATAGCCAATATGTACAATTTCATCGAAATTCTAATTTCAGAGACAAAGACTTCAGTGCTGAGGAGATGACAAGGTGTTAGCTACTATTAAGCTACTATGGTACCTGAAAGTACAAGTGAAGGAACAAGGGTTGAGATTCAAGTTTTGCATAAACATGTAGTTGAGCATCAGCATTGTGGGCTAGTTCTAGAATCGTAAGACAATGAACAGGTTCTAGGGCATTTACAACTCGATACACTTTCTTCAGGGCGAAGTGAAAGTTTAACACTTGCCATGCAGAATGCTTTGCTTTCGGGCCTCATGCAGATTCTGTTCAGCGGAATGAGCTTAAACCACACCACAGGGAAAGGGAAGGAGAAGGGAGCCCCACAGACATCTGAGATCAAAGGTGTCACTTTCTTTTTCACAGTCCTGCACAGGTGACAAGAGTTCCCCTCTCTGCACAGGCAATAAGCTAGCTGTTCTCTTAAAACCCATTTTACACATCCTGAAATTTAATAAACCAAAAAATTAACACAAATGCATACTCAACAAGAAAACAATTAGCCTAAGGTAGGTAGCAAACAAAAAAAAATCAGAAATACTCTGTTTCAGTCAATATATGACTGGATTTCAAGTCTGGATTTGGTTTTAGGCTGTCATTCTATATTGTACCATGCAAGTTTCATTGCATGCCACAGACACCCTTTTCATCACACAGCCAAATTAACCTGCTTCAGTTTCTCAAATCCTTTAGGTTTTCTCTTCACTCCAAGCCTCTGTCAATGTGATTCTTACCTGTTACACTGTTCTCTTCCTCAGAGTAACTCCAGATCACCTCCTTTAGGACTCTAGACTACATCAAACACTCTAAATGTCTGTTTTCATTTATATTCTTTATGAATACTCACTCTCCCATAATTAACCAAATCTTCCCATTAGGAAGTCATTTGCATGTTTAGAACCGTGCTTGACAAAATGGTATCTGTCAATAATACTTGGGCACACAAGGCTTAAGAATCCATAACGCCATAGGAGGCTTAAAAATCTGTCCACAAAAGCCCTAGCCGGTTTGGCTCAGTGGACAGAGTGCCGGCCTGCGAACAGAAGGGTCCTGGACCCGATTCCGGTGAAAGGCATATACCTCGGTTACAGGCTCGATCCCCTTGCAGGAGGCAATCAATTGTTGTGTCTCTCTCACATCGATGTTTCTCTCGACTCTCCCCCTCCCTTCCACCTTCTCTAAAAATCAATGGAAAAATATCCTCGCGTGAGGATTAACAACAACAAACAAACCACAAAAACAAAAAAATCTGTCCACCAACCAACTCTCCATCTACCCTGTTTATTATTCGCACCACTCACCCTGCGGGGACTCCATTCCTCTTTGCAAGCTGGTTTCTCCTATGGGAACGACGATCACTGCCTGTGCTCCACCTGACTGTATGCACTCAGCTTTCAAGTCAGACAAGAAAAACGTCAACAAAAGGTCAGCTGCTTGATCTGGTGACTATGTTCCTTCCTCCTCCAGCAGATGTCACAATTTATATCTTTCCCCCAAAACTTACTTCTTCCAAGAGAGTTACAGGTCTCCACAGATCATATCCATTGACCTCGATCCCTCTAGCACCTAGAGCATGAGCTGGTCAACAGCAGGCTCTCAGATGTGGAAGTGAGGGACAAGGGGGGGGGGGGGGGGGGGCTGGTCCAAGATTTCCTCTCAAAGCCCTTATCAGTCTTTTCGGCATGTAAGTCATTTAGGTCATCTGTGGTTCTGATCCCCTACATGTGTGACCGTGTGTGTAGCGATAAAAGGATTATTGAAGCTCAAAAAAAATTCTACAACACATTCCAAACATAAGGTGAACAGCTTTGGTCGTTCTTATGGTTGGAACGTTGGCTGCACGAAGAGATTTCCTCTCAAAGCCCTTATCAGTCTTTTCGGCATGTAAGTCATTTAGGTCATCTGTGGTTCTGATCCCCTACATGTGTGACCGTGTGTGTAGCGATAAAAGGATTATTGAAGCTCAAAAAAAATTCTACAACACATTCCAAACATAAGGTGAACAGCTTTGGTCGTTCTTATGGTTGGAACGTTGGCTGCACGAAGCACGTTATGTAGTTTCAGTGAAGCGAGATAACTGAACAGCGAGGCAGTGAGAAGGGCACTCGTCCAGGTCCTCGAGAACCTTACCTGGCCGGGACTGCACACCGGCAAACAAAGGCAGAACTCCCTGCCATGCCAACGTTCCCTTCCGCCAAATCCCCGCACGCCAAGCCAACCCGGGGCCTTCCCGACCTACACAAGGCTGCCTGTGTGGCCCCAGCCAACCCGATGTTTCCTCTCTCTCACTTTTTCTTTGTTCTTTGTCCTATAAAAGCTTTGGGCCCTCCACCCCACTGTGCGATCCTCGGACACACTACGCTTCGTGACCGTCTGAAAAGAGAAACATCTGTTTGCATCAGCTGGATGTCCTTTCGTTATTCATCATAACACTACTCGGCTCAGGGCCTGGAAGGTATTCCTAGTTTAAATCCGTGCGCTGAAATACTGCCTCCCGATTCAGCTATTTCCCCACGTTCTCAAGCAAGTTTTTCCCTCCGGCGCTCTCACCTGGCCACGTCCGGCGGCGGCGCCATTACACAGCCACATATTAGGGCTCTTTCCTAGCCGACACCTAAAATGCAGCCCCTGCGGCCAAACTCTTGGAAGGCGCCTGGCGCTGACTTTCCCTCCCGCTCCCCCTCGCCCCTCTTCCGCTTTTACACGCCCCTCTTCCGCTCCCACGTGCCCCTCTTCCGCCTTCACGGGCCCCTCTTCCGCTCCCACGTGCCCCTCTTCCGCTCCCACGTGCCCCTCTTCCGCCCCCACGTGCCCCTCTTCCGCCCTTCAGCACCCACCCTCCGCCGCCGCAAGTCCACCTGCGCCCTTCCTGGTGTCCCCAGCGAACCGGGCCGGGGACTCCTATTGTACGTGCTTCCCGTTCTCGGTTCTGCGACAGAGGGTTAAGCTGGTGCAGGAGAGGAGCTGCCAAACCCCGTTTATTTTCGGATTCCGACGTTGACTTCGGAAACAGGCAACTGAGAAAGGCTGGGGCCAGCTCGCGTGGCCAAGCGAGAAGACCCACAGTGTCCCTGATGGCAGTGAACCTGCGTAGCTGATATGAGCACCCAGAAGATTTGCAGAGAATTGCCTGTGCCCTGAAGTGTGGAGGCAGAAAGCGGGGAAAGCCCTGGCTGGTTTGGCTCAGAGGGTAGAGCCTTGGCCTGCGGACTGAAGGATCCCTGGTCGGATTCCCGACAAGGGCACATGCCCGGGTTGCGGGCTCCATCCCCAGTAGGGGGCGTGCAGAAGGAAGCTAGTCAGTGATGCGCTCTCATCATTGATGTTTCTATCTCACCCTCTCTCTTCCTCTCTGAAATCAATAAAAATATATTTTAAAAAAGAAAGAAAGCTGGGAGAGCCCTTGCACATGGGGTTGCATTAATGTCACCACTAGCTATGAATTTCTATCAGGGACTAGATTGCCTGCCTTTGCAGTATTATGTAAACCTTTCAGAATTTTGCCACAACATTAGGACAAGGAGGAACAACCCTTAAAATCTGGGGATAAAATTGCCCACCATCCATGCAGAACTGAGGCGCCAGAATAGAAGAGAAAATGATTGAAAGAAAAGAACATCACATTGCTTGTGTGAACAAAAAGGGGCCACATGCTAACCTAACTCAAGGAAGGCCTGCTGATGGCCTTGCAAGCTCAAGAGACCTAAAGTACCACAAAGGGTGGTCTGAAATTAAAACCTTCTTATTAAAAAGCAATTTATAGTGGGTAGTCATGTCCTAGGCCAGTATTTTCCCTGACAAAGATCAACTTTGATCTTTACTTATGCCTATTGTCCTTTTGCATCTAAGATAACATACCTGTAGAATGTCAGGGTAACTTGTAACCTACCCCTTTCCTCCTGGACCCCTCAGACACAACGAATGGCACCAGAGCAAAGATCACAAATTCCCTCATTGTTAGTTATCTTGTTAATTGCTGACTGTTAACTATTCTGTACCCACCTATATAAAAGAAGTATGTGTAGATCATTTTACTTTTTATCCAATCCCAGAGGTTTCCCCACTTTACTTCCTCCCACCTCCCTAATCTATCACCAATATATTTCATGGAACCCACTGACATCTCCTTTGATTGTTATGTATAAAACAAGGTGAAAAACCACCATTCTCCGCAACATTATCCCAATATGTGGAGATTCTGCTGCCCAGCAATTGTCGAGAGTTTGGCTCAAATAAACTCAGTAAGTGAACTTACACGAGAGACCTTGACTGCATTGTGAAAAGCCCATTTATTAATGCAATTAAAGCATGCACCTTTATTGAAAAAGCAAAACAAGCAAATCTATCTTATTTCATCCAGCTTGGAGGGCAGATGGGCTTTCCCGGCAAATCCGGAAAAGCCAATGTCTGGAGCAGGTTCCAGGAGTAATACACCCTCCTGCCTATAGGTTTCAAAGATTCTTTTGCCAAATATCTGGGTATAGATTAAGTCTCAAGTTCTCTTTGTTGTGGTCTTCCCAGAATTCTGGCAACTTTATCTTGCCAAGCCCCAAGACTGCTGACTTCTCCGTTAGGGAGTAAAAACTGTCATTTTTTCCTTTTCCCTTTCCCCCTCCCTTTCTTCATCCTCTCCTTAGCGAGGTCTTTAACTATTTGCTCTCAAGGTCCCTCGCTGGGAGAGATAGTGGCTCGTTATTCAGCTGCAAATTGCTCACACTGTTTGGCCTTGTTTTAATTTTCCTGTCTCCGTTTTCCCCTATTCCTCCTGCCCTGGAATCCTGTAACAAGACGGATTGAAATGAAGTGAAGATCAAAGTTTGGGAAATCTGGAACTTGAGAAATGATGAGGCCAGGCTTTCTGATGACATATATACACACACACACGCAGGGGATAAAAGAAAAACATAATTATCAACCTCGTATTAAAGTTACGAAAGAAGATGATGTGGGAGGGATGTTTTGTAACAACTGGGAGACGCTGCCATAAAGACTTAGAAAGAATAACATAAAATTTTCAAAATTATTTCTCATCTTCAAAATTATTTTGATATTTGACACAGAAATATAATTTGTCTTATTTTGTGTTACCCACAACCTCAGTCTTTCTGATCCCCACAGAAGGAACTCACCTGAGAATAAACTCTTCTTTAGTGTTAGCCATTATGTTAAGATTTGCTTATCTGAATGACAACTTTTGGAATTTTATAGTCAGCTCCCATTCACTAGAATTAGACTGTCTGTCACCTAAGGAATGCAGTTGAACATGACTACTCATCCAGTGAGCACTGTTTCCATAAAGCATTTGTTCAAAATGAAAACAATAGGCTCAATCTTTCATCTATGAAGGAAGGCATGCTGGGAAGCAGTCTTTAAATTTTGAACTCTACCTATCAGCAATCTAATTATTTCAGAATTACCTGTTAAGCAATCAATTACTAAACGGCGTTTCAATGTGACTTCAGGACAGGGTGCCCTGTCCTATGACACCGATGATCTAGCAGGGAATAAGATTTCCATGAGGAAGTGGAGGTGACAAACATTGAACAAATAGTCACAAATGTGATTTCTGTTGAGAAAGAAGAAATGGAGATTTTTTTCTTTTCTACATAACTTTTTAGTTTATTCTAATTGGCAAGAAATAGGTGAACAGAGAGATTAATTAGGATGACAAAACAAATTATTTTCCTGTCAACATCTACCTGAATTCCAAATGAATAAACATCACAGTTTTACTTAATGATTTATAAATATAATAAAAAAATTGGGCAATATTGAATTATTGAGCACCTACTTTGTATCCAAATGGTTAACATGCATGAACTCTAATTGGTGGTAGTCCAAAGTGGGCATTGCTGTTTTCTGTGCAAATGAGTTTAAGGCCTCACTCCCCCACCTCCAACCAGCTTTCCACCCCTGAGTCTCTACCATATAGAAATCCTGTGGCAAACTCAAGGCAGCTTACTATGAACTTCATTTTATAGATGAGGTAACAAGTTAATTGAATAAATTACCAAAGCCTCACAGCTTATAAATACAAAATATATCATCTGAACCCAAATCTTGTAGGGATTTTTTTTTCTTTACAGTGCTTCAATAGTGGTTACTTTTCTTCTTTGTATCTATACTGATTACTCAGCCATATTAAATAACAAAATCCCTTCTCCATTGGGTTTCTTATATCATATTTAGAGCTTACTTCACTTTTTTCTTTATTCGGATTTATGTCTGAGTATTCTAAGACTGCCAACGAACATTTCTGACTGTGTGGCTATATAGCCTTGCTCCGTGGTCGGCAAACTGCGGCTCTCGAGCCACATGCGGCTCTTTGGCCCCTTGAGTGTGGCTCTTCCTAAGCCTTAGGAGTACCCTAATTAAGTTAATAACAATATACCTACCTATATAGTGTAAGTTTTAAAAATTTGGCTCTCAAAAGAAATTTCAATCGTTGTACTGTTGATATTTGGCTCTGTTGACTAATGAGTTTGCCGACCACTGACTGATGCAGAGGAGGGAGGAGAGGGTTCAAAGCTGATATTCCCACTACTAGGTTAGACAGTCCTAATTCTTGTTTTATATTCCTGTGCAGGTCCTGGGCCAATTTGTCCTCAAACACTGTCTTGGTCTGCTCTGTTTTGCAAAAGGATGAATCCCCATGCCAGTTGGTTTATTGACACTGACAATGACAATAACTGGAGAGAAACTGAAGAGTGGGAGGAAGATGCAAGCCCTGGCTTCTGTCCATCTCGTTGCCGTAATTGGTGCCGTAATTGGTGTCGTAATTGGCAGCAGTTTTCTGATGTGGCTCTAGCTTCTGCCAGATGACCCTGACCCTTGT